ATGGTGGTGGTTTCATCGAATTCTGTCCAGTGGTTCAAGAGTTATGATCGTTTTTGTAGGTTAACAATATATTAGATAAATGAAGACAAAGGAAAGAGAAAAAAAAAAAGCCTCAAAGAAGAAAAATAAAGAAGTTGGAACAGATATAGTTAAAACTCAAACATAGAAACCAACAGAAGAAGAAAAAAAAACAGAAAAACAAGATAATACTAAATAACAGAATAAACAAAGAAAATACAAGAACAGAAGATCAAATAGCAAGAAACAGAAGCAACTCTTAAAGTCTAAGCAAAGAAAGCCTAGTGAAATACACAGATACTAATAAAAAAGGAAAAAGGAATTCTGAAAAAAGAATACTGCAAAATAAAACTTAAATGCAAAAAGAAGACATACTGTATTTTTATGTAATAACACTTATCTGCATATTATTTTAAGTATATGTACATTATTTTGAGTATATGCATGTGTATTAATTTAAAATATAGATTAATTTTTTACCAAATCTGATTTTCAGAATAATGCACATGTGCATTATTTTGAAATAAATATAGAAGATCTATATGTGTAAATGAAAGTTATAAAATAGAAATTAATATTGAAATATGTAGAGTTGGATTTAAAATGTATAAATAGTAGTATTTTTAAACTGTCAACTTTTATTATATTTAAAAGTTAAGTAAGAATAAATTGTTTATTTTTTTCTTCACTTAAGCAGTTTTGCTGGCCACCTTTTTTATATATTTTTGTATTACATATATATAAATTAGTTTATAAATTTTGGTCCAACATTCTGCAGGTGCTTCTATGAGTCTCTATGCATGATCTGCCTGCACTAACTGTCTAACTTCAAAAAAAATTAGAGTATGTCAAGGGCCACATCTGACCACTACTTTACAATAGAATATTGCCAATCTGATAACATCTTCTTATAGAGAAGTGAATAAAAACAAAAAAACTTATATAAAAAAAAACACAGAGGTATAAAGGTAGACAATAAAAGATACAAATGCAAAAAATAAAAGAGGAAAAGGAAAGAAGTAAAAAAAGAAAAGATATATATAACTCTTGCTACACAACTATCAGTTGGTCCCAATTATAAGCCTGTGTTGGACTTTTAAAAAATATAAACTATACTAAATAAAAATAGCTCTACTATTTTTCTATCTACTAGAATATTTAACAAAAACCATGTAAGATAAAACTTCGACTTGAATATAGAGAGTTAGCATAAGGTACTGGTTAGTCTGAAGGCAGTATTTCACAGAGTTTCAATGGTTCGAGGCATGTGTATGAGTTGTGTTTGTATTGCTGTATTGTTTATACAATTCCAATTAGAAAATAAATACTGCTGACTGTTTTGGTATTTTATGTATTAATCTTTTGGAGAGAATAAACTGAATCACCTATTTTTTACAAAATTTTTCTTAAAAAAAAGAGAAGGTATAAGGTGAACCAAACTATAGCTTTTGTAAATGCTTAACCCTTCTGAAAGTTTCTTGTAAGTTTTACACTTGTATAGAACTAATATATTTAATACTGTTGTTTACTATATAAGAGACTTTTGACTTTTACCAGAGCTCTTTTAAACCATTATTACAAAGTGATAGCTTCTTTTTCAACTCTATTTCAATGCCTACTATGCATACCCAGTGCACCAAAAAAGTTTTCATAAAGCTTAATATATTAATATATCATTTTTCTGTAGTTTGGCATTTTGAAAAGTTTGGTTCAGATGATCATTAGAAAGAGTTATAGAATGAATTATTTTGAATATATCTCAAAATTGCTTAAATATATAGTTTTACTTTACTAAATTTTTCATTTATAAAAAATAAAAAATATAAAACATGTATAATTTGAATAAAGAGATTTAAAGTAACAGAATATGAAGGTCTTTTTCAAATAAAGTATGGAACTAAAAATAGTCTGCTATAGTTAATATATAGTATAATAATTTGAACTATTTAATTCTATTTATCAAAATTTTCTCTTTCTAATTTTTTCTTTATTTTATTAAAATGATATTTTATTGAATCTGAATTCTAAGGGTTACTTATCCAAAAAGTTTATCAATTTATTTATTTTATTTAAATAAGGGAATTGCACTTTGTTTTAGGCATTAGTACTTTTCTTAAAAGGTTGATTTGCTTAAACTCATGACAATTATAAAGCATAAATACAGTGAAACCTCTCTAAATGCATACTCTATAAGTGTATACTCTTTCTAAATACATATGCAGATTCTGGCCCAAATGTATATATAACCTCTGTAAATGTATCTTATTGTTCTTTAAGTGCACATCATTAAATTCTAGACCCATGTATATGCACTTAGAAAGATTTTATTGTACAATAGTAATGATTTTTATTTAAAAAAAGGCTGATATTAGAGTTAAGTACCTACTATTTTTACTTTTCAGTGCATTGTACCTAATTCATTTAATGCAATTATGTCTTAATCCTATATATACTTACTAAATTTGTTTGAAAAAGGCTTATGTAAAGATATCCAAAAAAAAGATAATTTAACAATAATGATAATGGGCATTTCTTGTAAAAATTTTCTAAAATCATAATTTTTAGTTTTTTCTTGGCATAATTTATCTTCTCCAGTATCATTACCAAAAAAATCACACTCACATGATAATGATAAAAATTCTAATTCGTTAATATTAGGGTTAGCATTATATTATGATTAGATAATAGTACGGATATATTAGTAAAATTGCTTAAGAAAAGTTTTTGTTAGTGCACTAAAGGTGGTTTCCTATATAAATTTTTGAGTTATAGGTGATTTTTATTAAAATGAATGGTTGTTTTGATTTTTCCAGATTGTGCAATGTTATACTTGATCTTGAAATGTTATATCTGATCTTGTAATATTATTGGTTTGCAACAAGAAAATATTATGTGAGCATGATTTTTTTGGTGGCAATACTGGGGTAGTTGGTATAATTTAGTAATCCATCTGATACTATATAATATTATAGTTCACTTTAAAATTGTATTTAACTCTATCACTATTTTCTAAATTCTTAATGACTTTTTTTTAAAAACAAATAGTTCAAATTCATAGAAAGACAAAATTTTTGTTTAAGACTTTCTTTATTCTTGTAATAATTTACTTACAATACTATCTTTTTATTGATAATACATTCTTAATAAGGAAAAATAAAGCAATCTTTCATATTATGAAAAAATACAGAGAACTATTTAAAGACTCAACTGAGTCATCAAAAATTGAACCAAGTAATACATCAGGCTTGAAAGATCTGAAAGTAGATTATGGCACAGTTTGTATGTAAATTTTAATTTTATTTTGTATTATAAATGTTTATGATATAAAATATAACACTATCTTATCAATTTGGTATGCAAGTTGTTTACAAGCAAATATAAGTACCAAATGAAGTTTTACTATCACATTCAAGCTTGAAGTAATCTCATATGCAGAGAACACCTCTAACTATAAAGCTTCTCTATACTATAATATTTAACAGAGATGTGTTGTAAGGGGAAAATCATTTAATATCAATGTCAAGGTTGCTTGAGTTGATTTGGACCAAATTTAGAAGAAGTTACCATAGCTGTTAGATATGACAGCAATGGTAGTTATGATAGTTATAGCAGTAATAGCATATAGGTAAAAATGGTAAAAGTGTTAGTAAAAGTTCTATAATAACTAAAATGTATATAAAGGTTTAATAGTTTAATCAAAATAAAGATAACTCTCTTTTTAAGTTTATAAGTATCCAAATAAAAGTATTAGTCTCTTAAGTATCTCTTAAGTTATAACATGACTATTTGTGTTCAAGATCATATTTTTTTGTCTTTGTAATTTATTATTGTTAATAAATTATAAAAAAAAGAGAGAAATCAAATTAGTAATTGACCCTCTTTTATATAAAAACTGTTAGTTGATTAAGCTTGTGATTAACCTTATTGTTAATAAACTCATATATATTACTGTTCTTGAATCATAATCTCGTAATATATAACCCTGAAATTCTAATTTCAAAGGATAGTTGAAACTCAGGTGCATTTGAAAAATAGAGACCTATACTAGTAAATAGTATTAGTTATTGAATAAAAGACTATAATAGTAATAAAAGTGTTAAAATTAGTAATAAACCTAAGTCCAAAATATAATAAATAGCTTTAGAACAAGCTCAATAACCCTTGCAGTATTTGAAAACACTCTATTCTTAGATTAAGTCAATTTATGCCTCAATTAAAGTCTATCAGTTAGAGTATAGAAAGTAAATTTGAGTAAATTTAGTATTTCTAATTTTAGGCTTTTGCTTAGTAACAACCTCTGGCATTCAAGTTTTCTACTATATATAAATTTCTATTATTACAATGTTCAAGAATAGTGCAAGTAAAAAAAGAAGCTTTAAAAAATTAGAAATTACAGAAACTTAAATATAGAAAAAGTGCAGGTTCTTGAAGGTCTATGTTGAAGAAAAAACTGCTAGAATATGTTAAAAAAAAAGAAAAAAAAGGCACAGTAACAATGTTAATAATTATAAAAGAAGCAAAACATTTAGGTGAAGTTATAGGTATTAATAATATAAAATTTTTATGCTGTTGGGTTAAATGTTTCAAACAATGATATAACTTAGTAAAATGTATCTAAACTCAGATAGCACAAAAAATCTATAAGGATATGCCTGTAATTATTAAAAATTTTCTTAAAACTTTGTATAAAAAAATGCATATAATTGAAAAAAAGTATATTTTATCTTTTAATAAAATGCCTATATGGTTTGACATGTTATAGAATTCAACAATCAATTTCAAAAGTGCTTATAAAATACCAGTTAAGACTACAGACAATGAAAAGTTATGATTTACAGTAGTTTTAAATTACATGATGGCTAGAAAAAAACTTCTACCTATAGTGATTTTTAAATTGAAAAAAAACTAAAAGGCAAATTCTTATGAGATATTATAATAACAATGGCATCTTTTGCAAATATGACTAGAAATTTAATGATCTTCATATACATTCTATAAATTATTAGATCCTGGCTAAACAGATTTTTTAAAAACAAAAGAATTATTTTTGTTAATGCATATCATAGTCATAATTATAATAAAGTAATTAATGCATTAAATGCAAAAGTCTTGAAAGTGTTAGAAATACTCAGTGGAACTACTAGTGTTTTGCAGCCATTAAACATCTCTGTAAACAAACCTTTTAAAAGTAGAATGAGAAAAAGATAAAATGAATGTATAGATAAAAGAGAAAAAAAGTATACTAAAAAAAGAAACTAAAAAAAAGGCTTCATATAAGCTTGTTTGTAAATAGATATCAGAGAAGTAGAAAAAAATTAGCCCAAATCTTTTAGTCAAATCTTTCGAAGCATCATTTCTTATACTTAATCCTGACAGTAGTAAAAATGATAAAATGTTATACTGCCTCAAAGCTATTATCAAAAACTGCCTAGATAAATTGCCAATTAATAATAAAGAAGTGTTAAATTATAATGATAATAAACCAGATGATGATAAGCCAAATGATGATAAGCTAGATGATAGTAAGCCAGAAGATTATGAGCTAGACAATAATATGCCAGATGATTATGAAATAAATGATAAACTGAATTATTATAATAAAAATATTTGGAATATAGATGCCTAAGAAGAGATGTAATAATGGAAATTAATTAGTAGGCAGCAATTGATTGATAAATAAATATATAAATTCTAGAACAATTTATATTTATATCATATAAATTTTTTTTTTGATAACTCAATATCATTAGTCATTTATCTAGATTCTAACTGACCTTGATAATTTGTAAAAGTAAGGTGATTAATTATTTTTTTTTTCTTGATTGAATTTTTAATTAATGAAAAAACTTATAAAAAATTATCAATTAGATGTTTTGTAGTAGCATAATATATTAAATTCAGTTAGCATATTTAATGTTATAAAATAAATAGATAGATTAGAAGATTAGCATAACTTATAGGATTACTATACTATAATAATGACTGATAATTATTTTGTTATAGAGGACATAAGTTATGTTATAATTTACTGTTGATTAAGATTTAATTAAAATTTTAGATAAATTCTTTTTGTTTTTTTTTTAATTATAAAAAATTTTAAAATAAATTAATTAACAATACTGTAATTACTTTTACTTAGTTAACTGATTACCAATCATCTGAAAAAATTCATTTATATATTGCAATTATGCTAAGGCTCTATATTATAAAAGCCCAACCTTTATTTACTAATTTCTTGTAGCTATCATTATATAATGCAAAATCAAATATATGCTCAAATATAATATATAATAAATAAATATAATTTTTTTATATCTTTACAACTAACAATCTAAATTGACTTTATTAGAGCATATCTGATCCAACTTCTGTTGCTGTTCTGTCTTGATGGTATTAAGTATGTTATTTAATGATTTATTGTTTTAAACATAGAAGTTTATTCTATTAATCACTTAGATTAAAAGCTTTTGATGAACATATTATAATATTTTGTAATAGTAACCTAACTGCAATTTGGTGATCTGTGAATCTTAGACATTGCAATCAATTAGTGATCAACCTGAAAGGATGTGGCAACTTAGTGAAGTAGATAAGTTGTCAATCCTCCAAGTGGTAGGTTGGAAGTTCAAAACCCACTGACGGTAAAAATTTGGAAAACCACCTATGTTACATTAGTGTATATAGGCATCTGTGCAATGCTAGAGTTACACAGAGGAA